TAAATAAAATATATTATTTAGAATTATTTAAAATTCAGTTCATAAGAATGCAAATAAATCTTGTCTAGTAAGATGGAATTGATTCTCCCCTGTGATAGAGGCCAATTTTGCATCTACTGGCAAATTCACTCCAGCATTCCTGATTATGAGAATTTATGTCTATTTACATATATATATTCTCCTTTGAACTAGTTTTTAAAATGTTTTCAGCAAAACGTTTTGTTATTAACATACACACATTGTAGTGTCTTAAACATTTCTAAGTGTATGGTTCGGTGACATTAGGTGCTTTCATTTTGTTGTACAAACAGCAGCACTGTCCATCTCCAGAAGTCTCTTTATCTTGGAAAACTGAAACTCCAAGCCTCCTAAACAGAGCCCGCATTCCCTGCCCCCAGCCCCCCGGCACCCACCATTCTACTCTCCGTCTTTATAAATTTGACTGCTCTAAAGACCTCCTACAAGTGGAATCATACAATATTTTCCTTTTATGACTGGCTTATTTCACTTAGGACAACATCTTCAAAGTTCCTCCACCTTGTAGTAAGTGTCAGAATTTCTTTCCTTTTTAAGGTTGAACAATATTCCATTGCAAGGATATACCGCATTTTGCTTATCCGTTCACCCGTCAATGGACACTTGGGTTGCTTCCACGTTTTAACTGTTGTGAATGATGCTGCTAGGAACATGCGTGTACAAATGTCTCTTCGAGATCTTGCTTTCAATTCTCTTGCATATACAGATGCCCCAAAGTAGAAATCATATGGTAATTCTATTTTTTTTTTTTGAGAAACCGTTTCCACAGCACAATGGTTTTGCATTTTACTTTAAAAATTTACCCTTTAACAGAATGTGCTCAACATCCAATGGGAGAGTAGAAGGATTGCTTGTCTACAGATGGGAACTTACTGCAGCATCTACAGAACAGCGCGTATAATTAGCATGTGCCAATTCCCCACTGGGGAAAAGAGAGGAAAAAGGGGGCGGGGATCCTGGAGGTGCTGGGGATGGTGAAGCCTGGTGCCCTGGAGAGGAGGTCTCAGGAAAGGGCCTGGAACTGTGGACAGGGTTGGGAAGGGCCAAGGGAGGATGGCGGATGGGGGCGGCTCCCAGCAGCAGCACCCTGGGCCAGAGTCAGGAAAGGGACAGTGTTGAGGCCCCCATGGCTGGAGCTGGATCTTGTGCCATTGGAAGGGAGGCTGAAGGAGATTGGCAGAGTTCTTTCTCCTCCTGGTTGCTTCTCCTGTTGTCTCCTCCAGGAAGCCTTCCCTGATGCTCCTTTCCCTTAGCTAGGTTTTTAGCTTCCTCTGTGTTCCCACAGCTTCTGGGCTGACCCCTGAAAGCCCTAGGATTGGTGTGGGTCCCTTCTCTGCCTCCAAAACTGAGCTCTTCAAAAGGGCAGAGATGCAAGAGTCTCGTTTGCCACTGAATCCCCAGGGCCTGGGACGCAAAAATGTGGAGAAGGGACTAAAAGAGTGTAGGCTGAATAATGAGTGAATGAGACAACAGGACAGGGGTGGCCCAGGGGCAGGAAGTCCTGGAAATGCCACCACAGACCCCCTGGTGTAGCTGGCACCTGGACAGAACGGGGGCAGTCCAGCGAGCCATGGCCTGGCCCCATCTCTCGGGAACAAATGGTTAATCCTAGTGCCCTCCCACTGGAGCTCTGGCCCTCCCCCCGCAGACAGGCTCCATCCAGATCCCAGCGGGCAGAAGGGCAGGAGGGAAAAACTGAGCCCGGATTCCAACCTTTGCCTCACTCTGGGCCAGTCACTAACCAGCTCGGAGTTCAGCAGGTCTGTGCCAGCACCCCACCCCCTCCGTCCGTGACTTGGCTTTATCTCTCCACACAGAGGCCACCAGCCCAAGCCTCTCAGCATCCTGGTGCCACTCTTTGCTCTCGAATCATCCATCTGGCATGCCCCCATCTCAACTGCTCTCTTCAAGGTTCAAACGGCACCTCCACCCTGAAGGCCCCACGTCTTCTCCCACCCAGGGTGGCATCGCACAGAACGGGTGTTCGCCTGCAATTAACAGAGCCTGCCGAAACTGTTGGCCCTGAGATCTTCACGCACACCCCGGTTCCAGCTGCCCCTTGGCTGCCTGCAAAGGGGGAAGGAAGATGTACAGCGACAAGAGGAGCCGCCCGGGCCCTGGTCACATTGGCTCACTGTGCGGCTCGAGCTCACTCCTGTCCCTCTCTGAGATGGACGGATGTCCCAGGAGGGAGTTGGACCGGATCACTGTGTTTCCAAACTTCAAAACAGGGCATTTCTCACCCCGTTTTTCCCTATCTACATACCAGTTGTGCACTTAAAAACATTTTTTGTTATTGTGACAAAACACATAAAATTTACCATTTTCACCAAAGTGGCATTCGCGTTGTTGTGAATGCAATCATCGCCACGTTCCATCTCCAGAACTTTTTCATCTTCCCCGGGTGACACTCTGTCCCCATAAACACTAACCCCCACCCCCCTTCCCACAGGCCTTGGCCGCCTCCATCCCACTTTCTGTCTCTGAGTTTGACTCCTCTTGACACCTCATATAATGGAATCATACAGTATTTGCCTCTTTGTGTCTGGCTTATTTCACTGAGGATAATGTCTTCAAAGTTCACGCTGTAGCATGTGTTAGAATTTCTTTCCTTTTTCTGGCTGGATAATATTCCATTGTATGGACATACCACATTTTGTTTATATATCCAGCCATCGGTGGACACTTGGGTTGCTTCCACCTTTTGGCTCTTGTCAATAATGCTGCTGTGATCATGGGTACACAAATATCTCTATGATCTGCTTTCAATTCTTTTGGATATATATCATATATATCCAGAAGTAGAATTGCTGGATCATATCGTAATCCTATTTTTAATTTTTTCAGGAACCACTATGCTGTTTTCCACAACAGTTGCATCATTATGCATTCCTACTGTCACTGCACAATGGTTCCAATTTCTCCACATCCTTGCCAACTCTTATGGTTTTTTCTTTCTTTTCTTTTCTTTTTTTTTGATAGCAGCCATCCTAACGAATGTGAGGTGGTGGCTCATTGTCATTTTGATTTGCATTTGCTTAATGATTAGTGATGTTGAGCATCTTTTCATGTGTTTGTTGGCCATTCGTATGTCTTCTTTGGGGAAATGTCTATTCATGTCCTTTGTCCATTTTTTAAATCAGTTTGTTGTTGTTATTGAGTTGTACAGCTTCTTTATATCTTCTGGAAATTAATCCCTTATCAGATATATGATTAGCAAATATTTTCTCCCATTCCATAGGTGGCCTTTTCGCTCTGTTTAATGTGTCTTTGATGCACAGAAGTTTTAATTTTGGTGTAGTCCAATTTATCTATTTTTACTTTTGTTGCGTATGCTTTGGTGTCATATCCTAAAAATCATTGCCAGATCCAAAGTCATGAAGCTTTTCCCCCGTATTTTCTTCTAAGAGTTTTATAGTTTTAGGTCTTATGTTTAGGTCTTTGATCCATTTTGAGTTAATTGTCAGATATGGTGTAAGGCTAGGGGACAATTTCATTTCTTGCCTGTGGATATCCAGTTTTCCCAACACCATTTGTTGAAAGACTGTCCTTTCCCCACTGAATGGCTTTGACACCTTGTTGAAACCATTTGATCATATATGTGAGAGTTTTTGTGCATTTTTAAAAAAAACTAAATATTTTCTTTAAATCGACTCATTTTTAACTGTAATAAATGTGTTTTAAAAAGAAATTAACAGGGGCCAGCCCAGTGGTGCAGTGGTTAAGTTCACACATTCCGCTTTGGCAGCCTGGGTGTGGACATGGCATCGCTTGGCAAGCCATGCTATGGTAGGCATCCCACATATAAAGTGGAGGAAGATGGGCACGGATGTTAGCTCAGGGCCAGTCTTCCTTAGCAAAAAAAGGAGGATTGGCAGCAGTTAGCTCAGGGCTAATCTTCCTCAAAAAAAAAAAAAAAAGAAATTAATAATATGGCTATAATAGAAACCTGCATCATGATCCATAAATAGAAGGTCATAGTAAAAAAAACACAATGGAGACAAACCATTGTTATTAAATTCTAACCAGATTCTTTGCTCACTCAAAAGAGATTAACGGAATTAGATGTTAAAGACATACAAGCCCCAAAGGAGGCTTTCTCCTGGGCATAGTCAGATTGAAAGTAAAGTTACAAAGTGCTCTAACGAAGCGTTTGAAGTGCATGATGACTGCCCCTGGACATCAAAAGTCATCTCTCATCCCACAGAAAGGTATTTTCCAGGCTGCCCTCAGATCCTACCAGGAGTTCTTGTCAATGGTCTCCATTCCCCAAGCCTCTCCCACCTCTGGTTGGTACATTCTGGGGTGGGGTGGGGGCGGCAACGGACTGAGAGCTGCTCTGGCCCCCACCTCCTGCTGGGGCTGGATGAGGGGAGGGGAGCAGGGAAGGGCGGAAGCAGCCGAGAGGCTGGAAATGGGAGGGGGACACTCAGGGACTGGCTCTCAGCATCCCTGCTGGGGATGAGAACATGGAGATGCAGATTCTGGTTCTGCTGATGCCTTAATTCAGTGGGTGACCCTGGGCAAGTCGCTGCCCTGTTTCCAGCCTTGGTTTACCCATCTGTAAAACCGGTGATGAGCGGCCACTTTGGAAAACAGTTTTGCAAGGTCTTATAAAGTTAATGATACGCATACCACATGACCCAGCAATCCTACTCCCCAGCACTCACCCAAGAGAGATGAAAACATATGTTCACACAGAAACCTGCATGCCAATGTTCATAGCAGTGCTGTTCATAGCCGCCCAAACAGGAAAGAACCCAAATGTCCACCGACTACTGAAGGGGCACAGAAATTGTGGTGCACCAATGCAATGGAACACATTCGACATAAGAAGGAACAATCTACTGATGCCTCAACAACACAGACGAATTTCCAAAGCTTAATGTTAATGAAAGAGCTTTTCACAGAAGACTGTTGTGTGAGTTTCTGCTTGCTGCTGTAACAAATTACCACAAACTTAGTGGTTTAAAACAACACAAATTTATTCGATCACAGTCTGGAGTCCAGAATGAGCCTGAAGGGGCTAAATCAACAAGTTGGGCTGGTTGCTTCTTCCACCTTGGCACTTCCACGTCTAAAGGCTGCCAGTGTTCCTCGGCTCCTGGCTGCATCACGTCGGCCTCGATCCCAGCTCACGTTGCTCTCTCCTCTGCTGTCATCACATCACCCTCTGCTTCCCTTTGCCATTAGAGGTGCTATTCGCACAGCCAGGGATGGGGATGGAACGTCTCGGTGGGGGCGGCGTTGTTCAGCCTGCCGCCACCATATAGGACTTCCTTTACATGCCCCTCTAGAAAAGGCGAAACAACAGTGACAGAAAGCAAATCAGTGGTTCCCTGGGGCCCGAGTGCAGGTCACAAAGGAGCTTTCTGGGGCGACCAAAATGTTCTATATTTAATTTTGATGGTGGTTCCGTGACTATACACATTTATCAAAATGCCTCAGAGGGGGAGCAACAAAGTAGAAGAAAACAGTAGCAACATACAAAAGTGACAAAGGGTGAGTATCCAAAATATAAAAAGAGCTCACAAACTTCAAAAAGCACAAACAGGGCTGCCGTGCTAGAGGGAGCACAGGAATCCACAGCACCGCCATTACTCTGCCACACCTCAGAGCTCAGGTGGCCCCCACGCCACCCTTAATACTTCGTGGGCTGGAAGGACTCACGGAAGGCCCTGAAAACTGTTACACTCATAGTTACTGTTTATTACAGCTAATGGGTACGGATGAAAATCAGCCAAGGGAAGTGCACATAGGGCTGATGGAAATGTTCTGGAATTAGATAGCAGTGAAGGGTCAGTATAGCGAATATACTAAAAAACACTGAATTGTATAATTTTTATTTATTTATTTATGTATTTTTGGTGAGGAAGACTGTCACTGAGCTAACATCCGTGCCAATCTTCCTCTATTTTGTATGAGGGACGCTGCCACAGCACAGCTTGATGAGTATGGCTTGATGAGCAGTGTGTATGTCTATGCCGGGGATCTGAACCCATGAACCCCAGGCCTCCAAAGTGGAGTGTGTGAACTTAACCAGTATGGCGCCACTGGGCCACCCCCGTATAATTTTGAAAAGGGTGATTTTTAGGTTCTAAACATGGAGCTTCTGTTGTCCTCTCCCAGTGGAGTCCCGGGCTCCATGCATTACTTCCTCAGCACTGACATGTGACGGTACACACGGAGTGTTGCCAGCCAGCACAGCTCACTGCCTTGGTGTCCAGAGTCTTTACTGGGGCTCCATCCTGCAGCCACGGTTGATGGCCCACGGAGCTGTTCTCAGTTTCCGGCTCCTCTGGTGGAGCTGAGCGAGCTGATACCACATGCCTCCACCCTAAGCCACAACATTTGTCTATCTGATGTGTCCAGACGCCACCCTAAACCAAAACATCTCTATCAGGCGTGACATTCCAGAGATTTAGACATTATCTCTCAGAAGCTGAGGGCAAAGGCCAGGTTTCTCTTTGAGCACATTTAAAATCTCTACCTCAGAAGGTCAATGATTCAAACCTTAAATTCACAGAAAAGGAAATGTGAATGGCCAATAAGCTGAAGGAGAAACTCAGCCCGATTAGCTAAGTCACAGGAAACTCCAATAGAAACCATGAGACTTTTTTTAATGCTCATCCCATATATTCAGGGGGATGGGCAAATAGTTAAGCTCATTGACCCTTGAGAGGTGTCAACTAATATGGTCTTTTGGAGGAGTTTGGCAGTCTTTGTTAAAAAAACAAACATGCAAATAAATGCCCTTCAACCCAGTGGTTCTGCTTTGAAGATGGATTCAGAGAGAGTCTCCCATGTGTGTGCAAAGACGTGTAAATAAGAAGGCTTACAGAATATCACTCGTAATGAGGAACTGTTGGAAACCACTGAACTGTGTACCACGGGGGAAGGGACACAGAATTATGTAATAGCCACTTGGTCAAACAATACACGACACGGAAAAAGAATGAGGTCAGTCTTCACGTGCTGTCATGGAGAAATCGCCAAGACATAATGTTGAGAGACAAAGTCAAGTTTCAATATATACAGTATAACCCCACTTTTTGGTAAAAATTACACACAAAGCGAGTCTCCATATTTCTACATATCATATGCCAGTAAAAAAAAAGAAAAGATCTGATACTCCAAACTCTTCTCGGTGATTAACTCTAAGTCAGGGTGTAGATTTGGAGATGGGTGTGTGACAGGCAATGAAATAAATTAAGAATTAATTGTGCAATTTAAAATAAACAAACCAACACTAACCAATCCCAAAGCGCCGAGCAAAGGGCTGGTTGGAAAAGTGCTCAATCAATATTTGTTGATTATAATCAGCAACCTCCTGGAGCTGGCTTGTGGCAGCTGCTGGATGAGCCCCAGTGGAATCTTTCTATGAATTTTTTAAAATTGTAAATCAAAAGGTGTAACTGGGCCCCAATGGTCTGTTTTTTATAATGAAATCCACTCCATTACCAAGGGTTTAAGACCCAGCTGACCTGGCCCGTGGCTGCCTCTCAAACCTCATCGCTCCCCAATCCCCTCAGCTTAGAACCTTCTGTCCTTCCTCAAAGACCCCAAAGTCTTTCCTGCCTCAGGGCCTTTGCACATATGGCAGTTTTCTCTGCCTGGAATGCTCTTTTCCTGCTTGATTCTTATTCCTCCTTCACATCTCTGTTTAAATGTTTAGACTTCCCGTGACCTAGCTATCTAAATGACACCCCCCAACCCTGTGAATTTTTCTCTCCCGTGGCATCCTGCTCTTTTCCTATAGTCACATTATCTATTTACTTGTGGGTTCGTACAGCTAGACTGTCTGTCTCCCCCGTCAGACTCCCTGAGGGTGGGATTGCTGGTTAGAGGACCCACAGCTCTGTCTCCAGCGCCTGGCACACCCAAGGTTCGTACTAAATATCTGCTCAGTGCTGCATCCCCACTGCCTCTCCACATGCCCCCGCCCCACCCCGAGGGAGGGTGGCCCGGCACACAGTAGGGGCTTGGCCAGAGTAGGGAGCCTTGATCTGAGAACTGAGACCAGACAGGCGCTGCAGGTGATCTGCATGGAGGTGGCCTGCTCATACCGGGGGAGCGGGGACTAGCCCTGGGAACAGCTCTCTGTCCCCCCACCCCATCCCAAGAGCCCAGAGCTCCCATGGCCCAGAGGAGACTCTGGGCGGGCGGGCAGCAGGTTCCAGCCGCGGACAGGTTCCTTCCCACTTTCTCTGGCTGGGGGCGAGTGAAGTTGGTTTGGAAAGAAAATGTCGAAGTGAAAAACAGCGCGGAGGCTGAGTCTCGCTTGCTGCCATTTGAAAAGAATGAAAGTGGGATTAACCAAAAAAACAAAATCCAAACCAAAACCAAAACAAAAACACTCTACTGTTTTAGAATCTGCCTCAGAAACAATCATCTTATTGTTTTCTGTGTTGTAATAAAAATAAGGGTTCACCCAAGAGGCTTGTTCTCCCAAGAGTCTGCAGAGAGGCCAGCCTCTGGCTGAGGACTTCGCAGCTACCCAGAAGCATCATTTCCTGAGTGCCCGCTGTGGGTGGGGCCGGCGGGCGGGTCTCAGGTGCCTTGGGGGGAAGGCGGAAGGGTTAAATCAGCATCAACCAGTGATATTTGCAAAGTGTCTGTCAGATCGTGGCACTGTCCTGTTTGAAATCCCCGGGCCTTAGGATAATGTGTTAACCCCTCTCCATCATTCAGGAGGCTGTGTACCGGTCGCCCAAAGATAGCAGAGCAATCCCTGGGACCTGGAAGTTTTACCTCATAAAGAAAAAGGGTCTTTGCAGATTAAATAAAGGTTCTTGACGTGGGGAGGTTACCCTGGAATACTGGGGGGAGCTTTAATCCACCCACAGGGGTCTTTACAAGAGACAGGTTTGATGCAGACAGAAGAGGAGCAGGCAGAGACTGGGGCAAGGAGCTCACAGGTCAAGGAATGCCAGCCGCCCCCTCCAGGAGCTGGGGGAGCAAGGAACGGATTCTCTTCCAGAGCCTTCAGAGGGACAGCGGTCCTGCCCACCCACACCTTGCTTTTGGCTCAGTGAAGCCGATTCAGCCTTCTGGCCTCCAGAACGACGAGGGAATAAATTTCTGCTCCTTTAAGCCAGCAAGTTCATGGTGGTTCCTTACAGCAGCCACAGGAAACTGATGCACTCATCGAAATAGCCCTCCGCCACCTGGCCCCTGCCCACGTGTCCGATGTCACCTCACATCCTCTGCCCCGGCCCCATCACGCGTCTTTTCTGCTCTTCAAACTGTCGAGCCCGGTCCAGCCTCCTGGCCTTTGCACCACCTGAGTTCCTCCCCCGGGGTCTTCCCAGGGCAGGCCCCCACTTCCCGTTCAGGTCTCGGCATGAGTGTCCCCTTCTCTGAGAGCTCTTCTTTGACATGTCAATCTAAAAATTGCCTCCTGGGCATCTCGGTCACATCCACCTGTTTTACTTTTGTCACAGCATTTTTCACTATCTGAAGTTATTGTTTTCTCCCCAGTTTATGACTTGTCACCCCAGTAGAAAGTGGGATCCCAGAAGGCCTTGTCTGGCTTGTTCCCTGCTGTGTCCCCAGGGCCTGCGACCCGGTCTGACATAGTACGTGCTCAGTAAACACTAGTTGATGAGTAAAATGCATTATCTGTGCAAGACTCTCTGGCCTGAGGGGGTGCTGCATGTGATGTGCCCGTGACCTTCAGGGTGCAGATGGAGCAACGACACAGCGACCCTCATTTGTTCTGCATAGCGCTCTGTGAGGCGGGGTCCTTTGATATCCCGGTGTTACAGACGAGGCAGATAGGCTCAGCGATCTTCGGAGTTAATGCTCAGAGTGTTCAAGTGAAAATCACATCAACTGAGTCCCGGCACCCAGTTAACCCAGGCCCTCCCCTCCTGGGTGCTCCGTCGGCCCCGACTCCTTAGGAGTCGCTGCACAGAGATGCTGATCCTGCTTGGAGGAGAGACCTCACAGAGGCGCAGGGCCGGCCCAAGGGCACCCAGCACCCTAGAGGCATCCAGGCGAGAGCCGGTAGCGGTCCACGGTGCGAGGGCCAGCAGTTTATCCCGAGGCTGGGAAGCAACCCGCTCCGCGGGTGTGGGGGAAGTCCCAGCAGGCGGCTTTCTCCGGAGGAGAACGGCGCGGCTATCTAGGCGGCTTCCCGCGGAGCCATCTCCCTGGCCGCGCCTCAGTTTCCCCGTCTGGAAAGCGGACGCGCCTTCGAAGGGATGGAGGCTGGCGCGGCGGGCGGCGAGCGGAGGGTTAAAGGGGCGGGGCGGCGGCGAGGGCGGGCCCGGGGTTCCGGCCGCACCTGGCGCACCCGGGCTCCCCCCGCCGCCGCGCGCAGCCCCCGAGCCGCAGCGGGAGCCGGAGCCCGCGGGAGAAGCGGCGCCGGAGCCGGCACCCACGGCGGGAGGGGCGGCGGCGGCCGGAGCGGCCTCGGGAGGCGAGCGGAGCCGCCATGGCCGAGTTCCCGGCGAAAGTGAGCACCAGGACCAGCAGCCCCGCGCAGGGCGCCGGCGCCTCGGTCTCGGCGCTGCGCCCCGACCTGGGCTTCGTGCGCTCCAGCCTCGGGGCGCTCATGCTGCTGCAGCTGGTGAGGGCGCGCGGGGCCGCGGGGCGGGTGGGGGGTCCCGGCCAGGCAGGTGGGATCAGAGACTCCGGGGCTGTCCTCCTCCTTCGCTCCCCAAAGACCCCCAACCCCGGCTCTCACGCGCCCCGACGCGCCGCGGCCACCCCGGGGCGCCTCCGGCACGGACGCCCCCCACCCAGATCACCCGGGAACCCTTTCTCCTCGAGACGGCCCAGTTGCCGCCCCTGCGAGCACACGCCCGGTGCTCTCACATTCGGGGCGCCCCCTCTCCAGCGCCCCCTCATCCCCGCCAGGTGGTCACCAGCAGCCACAATCACTGCGCGCGACTCTCTCTCCGTCTCTGTCGGTCTCTCTCTCTTTGCCAGGACTTTGTCCCCAGCCCTCCAGGGGACAAAGCCCCCGGCTCCCAGCGGCTCCGCGTGGCTGCACCCGAGAACCCTGTCCGTCTAGTCGAGAGGGCGCGTCGGTTCCAACACACACCCCGGGGCCGGGCCCTTCTGGCTTCCACTGGGTGACCCGCCGGGTTCCAGCCGGTTTGGCCGGCCCCGCGGGGCCGAGATGCGACACCCGGCGCTGGGGGAGGGATCTGCGGGGAGCCGGAGGCAAGACTCGTACGTTCCCAGACCCTCCGCAGGCCCCAGCTGAGGCGGACCGATGGGGACACGGCTCTCCCCACACCGGTTTCAGGTCTGGGGTGTTAACCTTCTTCCCATAGTGCGAGACAAGAAGCTGCGTGGCTTCAGATACAAGGGCAGAATGGGAGGTGGGTCGGGATCCCTTTTCCTTTAGGGCATCTCTCGCGGTCCCCCTGCTCCAGGGTGCTGGCGAGGCTGCCAGCCTCCCGCGGGAAGGCAGGGTGGTCTGAGACCCGACCTCCCCCTCCCCTGGGTGGGCGCCCGCCTCCTCCTCGGCCTTTGCTCGCTCTCTCGCTGAATTGCTCAACTCTCTTCCTGCGGGCCCCCCACCCCACCCCAGCCTCAGACTCTCTTGGAGAGGTTTGTTTAAAATGTAGGTTCTTGGTCCCCACCCCCGGAAAAAATGTGGAATTGGAATTTGAATCTGAGGAAGTGCAGCCCAGAAATCCACATTTTCAACTCCCAGAGTTGTTTTGGAGGTTCGCTGGCAGGGGGGCGGGGGCGGGGGCGCGAGGCCCGCCCGAGACCTTATAGAGTTGCCCTGCCGGCCGCTGGGGGCTGGGCTCCCGCCCGAGCCTGTGGGGGCGGCAAGGGGCCGGCCCCAGGGGGTGAAAGGGCGAGCAGAGCGAGCTGCCTGCGGGTCCAGGAGGCTCCGGGAGGACGGGTGGCCGGGACAGTGCAGGGAAGGTGCGGGGAGCAGCCAACAGGCCGGCGGAGCTGGAGCGCAGGCTCTTGTTTCTGGGGTGGCCGGACGCCGGGGGCCTGGGTACCTGGGCACCTGGGCGAGGCCGGTGGCCTTATTCTGTCGGCAGCCTGGGGAGGGTTCGGGGCCCTCCGCCCGGCCGGACGCGGGAGGATGCTGAGGGCGGGGTGGACCGGAGGTAGCCCCGGCTCCTTCTGCATTCGGACAGTGGGAATTCGAGCGAGAGGAAGGGCCTGCCGGGCTGGCCCCCGCTTCCCCTGGAGGAGGCTGTGTCTCTGGCTGGGGGGCCCGTGGGCTCAGCAGCTCAGTCCTGAGCATCTGGGTCCCACCGCGCACACGGAGACTCTGAGGTCCAGCTAGGACGCGGGACTCACCAGGAGTCCTGTGCTGGCGCACTTAGGTCTCCAGACTCCCTGGCTGGGTGTGAGGGGGTGGCCTGCCTTCGTCCTCCCTGCGGAGCTTTGGGGGGCTGCGGTGGGGGGCGGTGAGGGTCTCCCACCAGAGTCCTGAAGACCTGCCCCTTTTAGCGCCTTCCCCAGTCTGCTGGCGGGGAAGCTGCTTCTCCCGCTGTTTCTCTGGCAACGGACAGTTCCAACTGGGTCTGAGACGGGGGTTCCCAGGCGGCCCCACCACCTGCTGGGAAACCGTAAGAACTCCCACCAGCCAGGTACCCACGCGGCTCCGGGCCCTTGACCAAGGCCTTTATAGCCTCCTATTCGTCCCCATTTTAGAGGTGAGGAAACTGAGGCTCCGAGGTCCATTCTTTGCCCAAGATCTCACAGCCCTCCTCCCCAGGGGATCCAAGCCCTGAGTAGTCTGACTTTTCTGGCCCGAGCTCTTAATTAACACACTCAGCTCTGCTCCCGCAGGGCACATGGTCTGGTGCCATGGAGGTAGTGATGGAGGCCCCAGGCCCAGCCCTGCTCTCCAGAAGCTCTTGTCTGTGACGGAAGTGCCCAGAAGAGGCGTTTCCTATGGAGGGATCCGGGAAGGCTGCATGGAGGAGGCAGTAAATGGGAAGATGAAAGCTAATTCTCCATCAGACCCCTCTGTTTCCCAGGATTTGGTGAAGCAGCCCAGATGTGGGGGTGGGGGGAGAAAGGCCCAGCTCCTTGAGAAGGGGATCTGCTCTTTGTTTAGTATTAAATGTGTCCTGAAGAACCAACCTCAGTGGTCAGTGATTTATCAGTCCCCCACCCCATCTAGTTCCTTAAAGAACATTAGGTGGGATATGATATTAAGCCACATAAGACAGAATAATTAAAGTAGTATGTTTTTAAAAGTTGGTGGTGTATGTAGGGGGTCGGCGCAGGATTGACTTAAAGAGAGCAAAAAAGAGACCATTGTACCAGGAATTTGTAGCAAGTTTAAGGCTGTTGATTCTTTGTTGAGCTTCCTAGCAGCTGAGGCAAAAAGGGAAACATGATGAATTTATGTGAATAGCTTCTAAAAAAAGAGGCAGGCAAGTTTGATCTAGAAACAACTCTTTGTTTATAAAAACCTGGAATTTTGATGCTGCAGATCTTTGTGTGGCTAGGGAGTGGAGGAATGTTGTGGAAGGTGTGGTTAGCGCATGCTTATAGTGGATCCCAAAGCCTTTATAGAATATCTATAAAGTGAATGCTCTCAAGTGCCCATATGTTTCTTATTTTTTTAATCCTCCCAAGTTCTGGGGAGAAAGATAACCTTACCTGGGTTTACTAAAGAGGCAACAGGCTGAGAGAGGGCAAGGAACTTGTCCAAGGTCACACAGGGTAGAGTGGCAGAGCTGGGATTTGCTCACAGATCTGGGAATCCAAAGCTGGCTCTGGCTCTGCTTCCTGTTTTGGTTTGGTTTTGGGTTTCTGGTGGGGAGTAGGGGCCCTAGGGTGCTTTGGAGGCGATGGAGAAGGATTTCAGGAAGGGAGACTCCTCAGGGGCCAGAGGCGCTAGAGCAGGCTTCCTGACAGACGCGGCTCTGAAGGGCTTAGTTGTTTGAGAAGGGGCAGTACGGAGGTTCAGAACAGACCCTAGCTTGTGCAAGGGCCCAGCTGTCAGAAGGCGTCCTTGGGGCCAGCCCCGGTGGCCTCGTGGTTAAGTTCAGCGCTCTCTGCTTCAGCGTTCCAGCTTTGGTTCCCGGGCAGAGACCTACACCACTCATCTGTCAGTGGCCGTGCTGTGGAGGAAGATTGGCAGTGGATGTTAGCTCAGGGTGAATCTTCCTCAGCAAAAACAAAAAAACAAAAAACCCAAGAAGGCGTCTTGGGGCCCCGGATGTGGAAGCCACACGGATGCCCGTGGCAGTGGGCCGTTTGTGTTTGGCACCTCCTTCTTGTCCTCCTGGGATTGGGGCAGGGACACACAATTCCCGGTTTGCAGGTGAATAAGCAGATCAGAAGCGCCACCTGCCGCTAGATCACCGTGAGCCAATGGCCTGGAAGCAGAGCCTTGGGTTCAAGTCCTGGCTCTGCCCCTCCCTGGCTGTGTGATCTTGAGTGGGTTCCTTGACTTCTCTGAGCCGGCTTCCTTGTCCGTGCCGTGGTGATGATGGGACTGTGAGGATGGGGGCAGATAATGCTGCACCGGGCGTCGCACAGACTGTTGGGAGGAGGGCGGCTGGGAGTCTCAGGGCCATAGACTCCTAGGGCTCTTAGGCTCGCTCCTGGAGGGCCCTTGATCCGTGCTCAACATGAGCTTGCCTGCCTCCAGGGACAGGGAGCTCAGTCCCTCTCCGGGCTGCCTGCTCCGTCTTTGTGCATTTGGGAGTGTTAAAAATTCTTCCTTGGGGCTGGCCCTGTGGTGTATTGGTTAAGTTTGGGCACTCTGCTTCAGCAGCCTGGGGTTCCTGGGTTCAGATCCTGGGCACGGACCTAGCACCACTAGTCAAGCCATGATGAGGGGGCATCCCACATAAAACAGAGGAAGATTGGCACACATGTTAGCTCAGCAGTCATCTTCCTCAAGCAAAAAGAAGAGGATTGGCAACAGATGTTAGCTCAGGGCCAATCTTCCTCACCAAGAAAAAAAAAACGTTCTTCCTCATGGTGATCCTGGCTGTCTTCAGCCCCAGGTCAGCTCCTCCGGGTGGGGGTCAGGGCAGGGCCTGAAAGTCAACTGACCTTCAGGAAGAGGCTGCCTAGATGCGGTGGTTGGGGTCCGAGGGGTGTGAGCAGAGGTTGGTGGCGTTGGGAGCGCAGTGTCGGGGTCTCCCGGGGCTTTCCTCAGCACTGAGGTTTGCGGGTCTGGCTGCCTAGTGCGGCGACCCAGGCCGCATGCGCACCGTCTTCCTCCCGCCCCATACCAGCGCCAAGCAGACCAGTGTCTCACGTTGTTGGCTCCGCCCACGCCCGCCGCTGGTTATGACGGGGAGGGTGTGGAATTAATTTTTAGTTACGTAATAAATAGGCGAACACATTCTCCTTAAAAAATGAAAACCTGTTACAGATAAGGCTGGCTCACCTGTCCCTCTTAGGGCACCACTGTTTTGCGGGTTTCCAGTTCTTTTCCTGTGCCGTTTGAAAGATGCTGATAGCTTTATTCTGCATCCTTGGCCTGGCAAGTTGCTTTTCACACACCCAGTGCACCTGCCGTCTTGTGGTGGCACCGAGCCGTGTCTCTCCTCTGTAACTGTCCCAGGGTATCACTGTAGCTCCGCCTCATCTGGCCATTTCTCTGTTGATGGGCCCATTTAAAAAAATTGTTTTATTCTTTAAAAAAATTATATAGATGCACAGCAAAACATTCAAACAGTACACAGGGTTGTTAATGAGAATACAGGCTCTCTCATGCCTGCCGGGCGCCCCGCCGGCCTCGCCCAGCATCCAGGTGAGTCGCTGCACAGTCTGCCCATAACCCGCATCCCCACTTCAGAAGACGCGGGTGCAGCTCGTGCGCGTGCCCCGCCCTCCTTTCTCCAGGGCAGCGCACCCGGGGGCGTCCCGTATGCGCGCGCACGGCGCTGCTCCCATCTTTCCTTAATTTCATATTTCCTTAATTTCTTTAACAGGTGATGTCTATGCAACGCTCAAGAATAAGATAGAGTGGGAAAGAGCACAGTGAGAAATCTCTGTCCCCGTGGTTAGAGTGGACCCCCGCGCCCACGCCTCTCAGGTTCCCGTGCACCATTTTGACTTTCTTTAAGGAGATAGACGCAAATGTGGCTGCTAGATCCCCGCCTCTCCCCATTTTACTCAGGGATGTAGTCTGTCCACGTCCTTCTGTCGCAGCCTGTGGAGCGCCATCACCTCTCTCTAAGGCTCCGGTCCGCTCCCTCGCGCCGCTGGGGGCCGTCTGTGTGGCCCGGCCCTCTGTGGACAGACGCTTGGGGTTTCCACTCTTGCCGCTGTGCACATTATTGTGGTGAACGACCTTGCACAAGCCACTGGGCACTTCTGCGCAGCTCATTTCCAGAAGTGGGCGGGGGTTGGTGATTTTGATAGAGATTGCCAGATGCCCTCCGCAGGGGACACCCCCGTCCCCAGAGAGCCTCCTGGCAGAGTGCCTGTTCCCCGTGGCCTCCCAGCCTGGTGAGCTTTCACACGTGTGTGTGCCCTGGTTGGACAGGCGACAATGGCAGGTCACAATAGTAGTGTTTTGCATTTCTCTTCTGAGCGCAGTTGGCCGTTTAGAAATATGTTTGAGCCATTTGTATCTCCTTGTCTGTCTGTATTCTTTCCCCCATCCCTTGAGTCGTTGGTCTTTGTCTTATTGATTGCCAGGAGCTCTAGATGATTTCCAAATATTTTTTTCCGAGTTCTGTTTTTGGCTTTGCTCACGGTGGTTTTTTTGACCGCACAGACTTTTGTTTTTATGTTGCTGAATTTCTTGTTGTCTTTCTTTTTCGGTTTTTCTTTGAGGCTTCTTGGAATTAAGTCAGAGTTAGGACCTTCCTGTTCCGAGGTGATAAAAACATTCTCCGACGCGGAGCTTGGAAAGAGGAAAGAGTTGTGTCATCGACGGTCTGTCACGCTCCTGAGTGACCACCAGGGGAGACAGCACAGTCTGGTGCTGACGGCACTCGCATCTTTCCTTTATTTTTAATCAGGAGCTCTGGACCCTGGGAGACAACTAGGATGTATTAACATTGTTATATTTTTGTCGTGCTTAATTTTATAGTTAGCTTCTGTTGTGTTGGATAATGCAGGTTTTCCACTTTTTAGTGATTTAAAAGTTGGCTTTTAAAATTATTAACTTAGGGGACGGCCCTGTGGCCTGGCGGTTAAAGTTTCACGTGCTCTGCCTTGGCAGCCTGGGTTCATGGGTTTGGATCCTGGGCGCGGATCTGCACCACTTGTCAGCCACGTTGTGGTGGTGACCCACGTGCAAAAAAAGGGGAAGACTGGCAGCGGATGGTAGCTCAGGGCAAATCTTCCTCAGGAAAAAAAAAAAAAAACCAAAAAACCTATAAAAAAATAAAGTTGTTAACTTATCTGTGTGATATATAGATATTCATCAGTGAGGACTGGTGGAATAAACAGTGAAACATTTGTGTGACGGCATACTATGCAGTTAGGAAAAAGGTAGTGTCTTACCATCCAAGAAAGCAATAAGGCAGCTCCATGTGTAATGCTGGAGAATCTCCAGGCTGTAGGGTTAAGTGAAAAAAAGAAGAGTGTAAAACGGTGTGTAGAGAATACGCATGTCACACATACATGTCATTTGTATGGGAGAAATACACACGGGCTATATACAGACGCACCTGTGTGAAGTGTGTGTGTGTAGACAGTCTCTGGAGCAACATGTAAGAAACCCGTGTTGCCCCTGGGGAAGAGATTGAGTACCAGGGGAGAAGGGAGACACGCTCAAAACACCATTTTGTTACTTAGCATGTCATATATATTGTGTATTTAAAAAATAAATAACCTATCAGGAAATCTTTCAAATAAATGAAAATATTGAGTAAGAAGATAGCACAGGTCGTTTGTGGGTATGGCACTAGAAGGCCCCTCAGGCCCAGAGAGGGGAAGGCACTTTCCCAGGATCACCCAGCAGCAAGCAATAGCCTTGAATTCAGTGTTTCTGGTTGGGTGGCCTCGGGTGGTTTTCTTAGCCATCTGTAAGTGGGAAGAGGACGTGTCCCTCGGCAGGGGCTGGCAGGGGCCGACAGGTAAGGGCCGAGAAGCCGTGCATGGTGGTGGATGGTTGCTGTTTCTGTGTGAGTGGCAGGGCCAGGCGCTGGTCTCTCCTTGTCAGCTGGTGAGTTGTTTGTGATGGGACTCGGTGAGGACCAGGCCCTGTGGTCCCGCTTGTGGAGACGGTCTGAGAGAGCGGCAGGGGTCCCGCCCCGGTCCCCGTGGTAACTTGGACCTGCTTGTAGGGGCAGAGCAGGTTTGTCTGGCAGCACTGTGAGCCCAGCCCTGGATATTAATGGCCCTCTGCTGTTGGGCTGGGTTGGCTCGTCCTGTTTGCCCAAGGGGGAAAGGCCAGGGTGGCAGCCCGGAGTCCCACAGAGAGGTGAGGGCAGGAAGGCAAGGGCCGAAGGTCAGGCAGGACCCAGTGGACAAGCTGCTGGGGAACAGTTTTGGGCCTGTTCTGGAACATTCCACCTTCAATTGGAGTTTGCTGGGGTCAGACACCAGATGATCTGCCACCCTGTATGAGGTTAGCCAGATGGGGTCACCCCCCCCCCCGTCCTTGAAGTTAAGATGGGGCAGGGCTTGCTCAAGGTCACCCAGAACGTTGGTGCCAGAGTCGGGACTGGAGCCAGTGTCTGAGGAGAGAGGTCCAAGGAAGAAGGAGGACCCCCCAGGCTGTTCCCTCCCACTGCGGCCCGACAGGTGGAGAGGCCAGGCCGCACGGGGCTGACGACGCTCCATGCGCTCCCAGCAGCTGCTCTCTCTGGTGGGCCGGTGACAGGAGGGGTCCTGCCTGAGGTGCTGGCTCCCCTGCGGTGCTGGGAACCGAGGCTTCTGTCATCTCCTCTGCCCGGGGCTCCAGGTCTGCCCCTGCCTCTTGTTGGCTCTGGCCTCCAGGGCAGTGGTGCGCCCTCCAAACTAATTAGTCTCCAGGGGAGTGTCCCCACCTCCTCTGGGCATCTCCTTCTCCTGGACCACAGACCTGTCCGGGCACCACCCCTCACGACACATGACCTTGGGCCAGGTCCAGATCTTCCAAGAGCTTGGTCTCATCTGTGAAATGGGCCCAGTGCTTTACTGGAGAGAGAGTTGGGCTCTGCCGGAGTGAAGCCCTGCCGGGGGCCTGGCCGGGTGAGCACGGGGGGCCTGGTGGGGTGAGGTGGAGGCCGGTGGGGCTAGCGAGGGGGGCCCTGTGGGGTGAGGGGGGGCCCAGTGGGGCTAGTGAGGGGGGCCTGGTGGGCAAGTGAGGGGGCTGCCGTTGGACTTGACCTGGAGCCTTCTTGGGAAAGTTGTGTGTGGCTGTAAGGGTCTTAGGTCGGGAAGGCACAGGTGGGCTTTCTGGGGTGGACCAGGAGACCCCCGAGGGAGGCGCTGGGGGACAGTGGGCAGGCAGGCAGGCAGGGCCTAAACATCTGGAACCTCACCGAGGAGCACCGCTGCTTGCTCTCGGAGCCCAGGAAGAAGCTGGGGATGTGACTGAAGGGGCCCCCGCCCACCTTCGCGTAGCTGGGGGCCCTCTGTCCAGGGATCTGCTTGGTGTCTGGCCCCAGAGTGCGGAGTGGGAGCAGGGGTGGGGGGAGGCAGGGGCGGTGTGAGCTTCATGCTGGGAAGATATTTCTAAACCCTGAGGGAGACCACAGAGTCACAGTGGTGGCAGAGGGCTCCTTGACATGTCGGGTGCACACAGGGGTGGAGGGCCTGTTGGGGGCTCTGGGGGGTGCTGGGCCATGGGGTCAGGTGTGCAGAAATATTTCCTTCTCCGGGATTTAAAAATCACAGTTCTGAGACTCAGAACTCGG